ACAAATACAAATGCCTAGCAGAATAGGATTCCTGTAAATGTCAACACCCTGTTTGCTCATGAGAACAGCGAAGGCAGGCACAGTGAGAGTGAACAGGGAAGTGCTATATGTACACTTTAGGTCATAAAAAACTAATACAATGCTAGGGGCGAGAGGAGTTATTTTGGTTTTACTAGTTTCACCTGAAGTCTAATTTTTAAATGTAGACGATGTTGCAACCCTTGCATGTTAATCTGCAATTTTTAAGTAGTATATTAAAATTGAAGCCATCTGTATCTCTGGTCCTTTAAAAACTTTTAAAGTTCACTGGAATATTTATTAATGCATTTATAAAACAGGGAGAATGGAAGGAGAAATCTGAATAACTGCAGTTTATCCCCCTGTGATTATGGGACACCAACCATCTGACACAATTACTTAACCTAAACATTTTTCCAAGTTAAAAATGACAGCAGTACCTTCCTGTAAGTGAAAAAACATCACAGTTCTAAGATAATGGTACTTCTCAGATCCTAGAAATGGCCATCAGCTTCATTACATGCCTGAGATGAGTAGTTATATCATGACCACATGCCTTGCTATGCATTATTCCTTACATAAAGAATGTACTGAATTCAAGAACCTGCATGTACTGATATTCAAAGCTTATTCACATTTATTTTCAGGCAGAAAATTTCAAACGCACCTATGGGAGTTAGGCACCCATCTTCAATAGAAAACCAATGTGAGTTGGGGACCTAAATGTTGCCAGCCTCAAACATGTTACTACTGCCAATCATTACTGCTGGGAACCCACCTGCATCAAAATGTTCAAAAGGTCAAATGTGTCAGACAAAAGAGGAAAAAGTCATATGAGACTCAGAAGTCTTGTATTCCTGTGGTCTTCTGACAGCTGAAGCTGCTTACATCGCTGTCCCACCTCATCATCCACCTTCAGCCCCCACCCTCACCTACACCCAACAGCACTCTTAGATGATCCTGTATGTTTATCTTCGAGGAAAGACACACAATACCCATCTCAGCTAAAATACCTGCAAACTCCCTTCACTTAAGAGTGAAACAAATGCCAAAGGTCACAGTATAATTTATAAAACTCAAGAATCACAAATAAGGAGAAACACACATTTTCCATGACTAGTAAAGAAAATTAATATTGCTCAGCACTTGACCAGCTTGACAGTCCAAAACAGCTCAGAAATCTAGTTAGAAAAGCTCCATTTACTTAGCACTTGTGTGGACAGGAACAGAGCTGGTGAATGCAAAGGCAAGTGAACTGGGTACCTGTATTTGAATCTGAAATTAAGGCCTCTTGTTTTAATCACTAGAGGTTTGGAGAGGGGCTTTTTATTAGCATATATATTTAAATAAAAATAAAATCTCACATGTGAGCTACAATAAAAATGGCTACAAACATAGTGGAATTAGTGAGGCTTTGTGCCTGTGGTGACCATCATATCATCAGGTGTTTCAGTGAGCGTAAGTAAACAACATATGACAGAGGTGTGTATATCGCACCTGCAGTATAATGTGACCCTGTTACATTTGCCAGAAAAAGAGTGCATACAAAACTGCAAGTGCTGAGCACCCCCAATCCCCATGAACTTCAAGAAAAGTTGAGGGTATTCATCAGCACTTTGCATGATCCATCCAGTTCTCTGGTGAATAGTGAGCAAACATAATTCTTGGCAGAAAGGCAATTATCCACTTTCCCTGGCCATCATACACAGGGCTTAACTGTGTTTGCTGCTGATATAAACCAATTTGTGAAACATGGTGCTACAGATTTGATGGACACCTAGCATCTGGCTATTCTGATTAAAGTTAGTTTCCCTAGAAAGTGGAACGAGAATCTATGTAACATGAGGTCAAAGGCCAACTACTTCCTGACATCCTAAAAGTGAGGCTGCCAAGATTAGTGAATTTACAGAATCTTTATTTTATAGTTTAACAAACGAATTCTGATCCATGGGTTACAGTGTCAATGACAACTCATACTCCCTGGTTTAGAATCAGATTACTCTCCCCAATATCATTTTATTATAAAAAGTGTTAAATCTTTCAGTTACTTCTGTGGTATCCATTTCCTCATTTGAGGTAGAGAGCAATTTTTACTTAGTTGACATTTAAAAAATATTTTGTATGCACTGAAATGTACTTAAAATAGTTTTAAAGGAAGATGCTCCTGGAAGAGTCAACTGAACGAGAAAAAATAAAGCATTTTCACATTAACACAACCATTAAACCCTGCTTGGAGTAGCTGAAAAATTAACGGCTGGCCAGACTTACCAAAATAGGAGTATTAATGATTGGCTAGAGATTCTCTTTCTTGAGGGAAAAAACTCTATACATTAATTTGGATTAACGAAGTATTATTGTAATTCATCAAAAAGGGATTTAAAACTTTATGTATTCTAAAATACACAGTTCAAAACATAATAAAAAGGAACTACATCTTTACTTCAGAAAGGTAGTAAAAATTCTAACATCCTTTTAGCTGACCTTACTATAAGCAACTAACTTCAAATCTGTTTACTGTCTATTATATTGCAGATCCATGCCAAATAGCCCATATTCTTTAAAGAAAAGCAAAATTAAAGAGCATGAGAAGTCTAAAAAGTGATCACTCTTGGTCAGACTGTATGTTCTTGCTACACATTTAAAAACGTGACCTAATGCAAAAGCAGTACACACATAGCACTGGAGGTGACACTGAAAAAGCCCTAGATCAGGGGTTCTCAAACTTCATTGCACCACGACCCCCTTATAAGAATACAAATTACTACATGACCCCAGAAGGGGGAACTGAAGGCTGAGCCCAAGGGCTTCAGCCCCAGTCAGTGGGCTTTGGCCTGGAAAGTGGGGCTTAGGCTTCAGCTTGGTCCCGGGCTTCAGCTCAGCCCCAGGCTTCAGCTCTGGGCCCCAGAAAGTCTAAGCCAGACCTGGCAACCCCATTAAAATGGGGTGGGGACCCACTTTGGGGTCCCGACCCAGAGTTTGAGAACCACTGCCCTAGAGAGTGGATAATACATAATGTATCAGCATGCCAGCAAAACAGAACACAATTTCTCCCCTGAAATAAACAGCTTACACTATTACACTTGACAGATCTTACAGGGGGACTAATGGCACGAGGATGAGTTTCTCTGCATTAATCAGATGAGACAACCTCCCTACTTGGGCACAATCAATGGTCGTGCTATGAAGCTCACTCCTCAGCGTAAGGTTTCTAAGTTGTATCACTTGGAATTCTTAATTGAAGCCACATATTTTTAAGAGTCATGTTTTTCCCCGTTTACTTAGAATAACGTGGTCAAAGCATGGTCGATAGCCCAAATGTGCCTCACAGCCAATATCATATTTAACACAGAGCGTTGGAGGATACATATCCCATTGTGTGATGGGACATTCTGATTTAAAGCAGAAGACTTTCAGGTGAAAATGGACCATCACATCAGAGGCGGATTAAGATGTATTGGGGCCTTGGGCACAAAGAACATTTGGTGCCCCATACCATGGGGGCCTAGGAGTGCCAGAACTGGGAACTTTTTAAAAATGGGAGGGCCATGCTTGCCCACTTTTTAACATCGGCATAGTAGCCTCGGGCAGGCATGGCATGGCAGCGGCATGGGCGCAGTTTGGGAAGGGCAGGAGGGCACTGCCCCCCCAAACTGCAAGCCTTGGGCCAGAGGCAATAGGAGGAGCAGTGCCACACATGATTGCTGCCTTGGGCTCAAAGCCCAGGTGTCTGCAGGGGCAACCTGCCACCGGAAGCAGGAGGAAAGCAACAGGAGCAGCCTGACATTGGGAAGGGAGGGGGCAGGAGGCCAGACCAGAGTCCCTTCCTCTGGGTCCCACCAGCAGCAGCGTGCCCTGGAGGGTGGGGACACGGATTGGGAGCTGCTCTTGGGTACCCTGGGCCCGACACAGAGCAGGCGGAGGATCCAGGGTTCCCCCTACAGCAGCCCAGGCTCCCTGGAAGGCTCCTACCACTGTCCAGCACTGGCTTTCGGCCTGGCCAGGGGCAGTGCCCTGGGGGAAGAGGAGGAGCAGGGGGCAGGGCCACAGTTACAGCACCGGTGGCCCCCACACTTCTACCCAAGTTACGGGCTCCTGCTAGGGGCCCCCAAATTGGGCCCCGGGCACAGATCTGGATGGATCTGGAGCCTCCCCAGACAGTATCTCAGTACTAAAGAGGACAAGTGCAACTTGCTCCATTTTACGCTAATTAGGTGTGGACTTCAAGGCAACAGGCTGCTTGTTTCCACACCTGAGGCTTGCATTATCAAAGTGTGGATGCCCATGACACAGAAGTTTCCTCAGACCTTTTGTTTGGTATTTCCTCTCAAAAATAAAATCATAGAATCATAAGACTGGAAGACACCTCGAGAGGTCATTTAGTCCAGTCCCCTGCATTCATGGCAGGACTAATTATTATCTAGACCATCCCTGACAGGTGTTTGTCTAACCTGCTCTTAAAAATCTCCAATTATGGAGATTCCACAACCTCTTCAGCAGCAGCTGCTGAAGACAGATCCAATTCAAAGTGCAGCAGTCAGCATAGACTTGCCTCCCTGCTCTGAAATCCACTACCAGATGGCACTGCACTGTTCAAAAAATTGGGTATAAATCCGGACAAGTTAGAATGAGGCTAAATTAGAGGCAATTTATCAAACACAAAATATGCTACTAAAACATTACAAGTGCAGATTAAAATTCTCTGCTACAAGGCCACCACCAACCTGAATGTTAACCGACTGAAAAAGCTGTCCCCTCCTCCCTCCACAGAACACATCTCCCTGGTAATCACCAGCATACCAAAGGCAGCTTTTTAAAGGCTGCCAACTACTGAACATATTCACCTTCTCATATAGTTCCTTGTCCTTTCGTTTTTAATCATGACAATAACCCAAACTACCCATGCCCGATTCAAATGAGTGTTAAGGCAGCACTACCCACTTTCACAGGAAACCACAGAAGTTAAAATAAAACAAGGCTCTCACTTTTGAAGGCTGTTGAATTTTAATCTCCTGGGAGTCAGATGCAGAATCTGATTTGGTGCCACCGGAGTTTGGTTTCTCCTTTTTTCTCTTCTGTTTCTTTTTTTTCTTTTTAGCTCCCAAATCCCCTCCAGGACTTCTGTCAGGAAATTCAGAGAAGGTAAAATGAGAAAAATCAATACCACAAAGCTTGAAGTACATGAAAGTTAAATTTAGAAAAACCACTATTCCTACATATGAAAACTAGTAACAGTCAGACATGACACAAGGAGGGAAAAAAATCAGGACAAACAAAGGAGTAAATTGCAGAAAAGTTCTCTATGTTAACTTGATCATTTGCTTTCCATTCAGTCCCCTAATTTACAGGGCATTTGGGCACCATGTAACAGTCAATGCCATCCCCATGGCTTTTATTTCGCAGAAACATGAAGTGGCAGTTTTTACATATACAGCAGAAGTTGTAATGTCTCGCTGAACAATTTTATTTAGCAGGAGTCATTTTGCAGAAAGAAAGGGGCAGGAGACTTCAGGGAGGAAGAGAAATATAGTACTGTAATGCACTAGAGCTAAAACTTGCCTTATGTATGTCTGCAGAAGTAATAATTGAAATTTCAGAATATAACTCTGCATTGAACTAGAAACACTATAACCACAAACACAACATGAACATTTCTGATATTTCCAGCAATGAATCATGGGTGGGATTTTCTAAAGTGCCTTTGGGATTTAGGTGCACAGGCTACACTGAAAGTCAATGGGACTTCTGTTCCTAAATACCTTAAATGCTTTTGAAAATCTTTCCCCATGCCCTCAGATACTCTTGATGTTTATCAATAGCCCACAAAAGGATTTGGGAAGAATGAATTAGAGGGAAGGTTCCAACCAGAAAACACTCTGTGCAATTTTTCAGGGAACTTTGTTTTTAACATATGATATGTATCTTGCTCAAATCTCACTGAGTAAAAGGAGAGTTACTATCAATGACTATTACTGGATCAAGTTTAATGGAAAACACATAAAACCCAACCAACTGCAGCCTACACTTGCTGACTCCAAACATTTTAGCTGATGACACAGTGAACCCTTTTTTCCTTAAGTAAAGGGAGCAGTCAATTAGCAAATGACCAAATACAAGAGTAGAGCCTGTAGATATTAAGGGAGAGCTCACCAATGGATGGTAGTAACAGCGACCAGACAAACAGGAAAAAAAACAAAGAGAGAGACTCTAGAACACAAGCTGAATACTCTCCAAGAGAAGTTAACAGTCAGGAAAAACCATATGTACATCATGGGCTCCACAGCAGATGTTAGATGCTTTTTTGCACTGGGCAAAATAAAAACTTTGCTTATTTTATTTCTCCACGAGAAACAGCTTTGATCGTGAGGGACATTGACAAGCATACAAGAGACATCATTTGGCTATTCTAGCAAAGTCAGGTCATGGGAACAAGTGGATTAGCATAGAGAGTTGCAACCATCATGAATCCTTATGAAAAGTATATCTATAAAATCCATTGTCATCTTTACTGCACTCTAATTTCAAAGGTTATAGTGTCCACAGTCTTGGCAATTGCATTGCTGGTCAATTCTTGGGTCCCCAAAGCCTGAGAAAGCTCCACATGCCCCAATTGAATGCTGAAAGCCTGTGTTTAAGCAAGTACCAACCAGTCACTGTAAACACTCATCTCTATGGTAATATCATTGTTCTCTAAATCCATCCTTATATGAAAGATCAATGCTGAGAAGCACTGAACCCTACAACTCCACAGGAGTTCAATGGAAGTTGCAACAGAAGAAGAGAAGGAAGAAGTACAGGGGTGGTGCTCAGCACCCTCTATGGATTAGGTCTCAATAACTATGACAGACATGGGCATAGAGAGCTGAGAGAAAAGGGGGAGATGAGAGAAAGTGGAATGTTTCCTTGAGCTCTGCAAATGAAACAGTTATTTACTTTAACTGTGGTTCTTTGAGATGTGATACAGATGTGTATTCCTCTTATGATGCGCTGGACACACATATACCTAGCTGGAGAATTTTGCATAGCAGTACTTGGAGAGGGACAGAGCTTGCACTTCGTGGCCATAACCCCTTCTCCTGAGGCTGACGCCCCCCTCAATTCCTTCGCACCGAACAACCAGAGACTAGACACCAATGCAGAAGCGACAAAGGTCTTGGAATATGTCTGCATCACATCTTGAAGAACCAATTACAGTAAGTAACCATTTCTTCTTCTTCGAGTAGATGCAGCCGTGTATTCCACTTAGGTGATTCGTAAGCAATACTCACAGGAGGTGGGGCTCAAAGTCTATTTAAATAAGGGCTACAGGACGGCCTTCCCAAAGTTTGCATCTGCTTTGTATGCCACAGTAACTGCATAATGGTTTGTGAATGTATGTATCTATGACCACATGGCTGCCCTGCAAATATTCAATATTGATACATCACTTAAGAATGCTATTGATGTAGCTTGCACTCTCGTAGAATGAGCTCAAACCTGTAGAGGAGGTGTAGTCGAAGCTGTTTCGTATGCAGTCTTGATGCAGGAAGTGACGTACTTAGAGATCATCTGTGAAGAGACTGCCTGTCCCTTCATACACTCTGCATACAAGACAAACAGACAAGGCAAAGCCTAAAAAAGCTTAGTCCTGTCCAGATAAAAGGCCATTGTCTGATGTCCAACATGTAAAGACACTTCTCCTCTAGAGAGGAATGAGGCTTAGGAAAATATACAGATAAATATACTGCCTTGTTTAAATTAAACGAGAGACCACTTTAGACATACATTTCAGGTGGGGCTGCAACATCACTTTGTCTTTGGAGAATTGTGTGTAAGGAGGCTCTGCCATCAGAGCCTGCAGCTCTCACACTCATCTTGAAGATATTATCACCACAAGGAATGCAGTTTTTTTTTTAAAAACAGAGGAAAAGGGCAGGATGGAGGTCCCATGTGAGCCACTAAGACCATGTTAAGGTCCCAACCTCTGGTTCCCACACTGGAGGCTGAAGACAAAGGGTTCCTTTCAAGGATCTCACCATCATGGCATTGGAAAACACCAGTCTTCCATGAATGGGTCGACACATGAGACTGCCACTAGATGCACCCTCAACCAGCTAAGCATAAGGCCCGATGATTGAAGATGCAGCAATACTCCAAGATGTCTCAGATACTAGCTAGTGTGAGTTGACCTCTGTGGGCCAATGACCACACTAAAAAATGCTTCCACTTTGCTGCATAGGCCATCCCGGTAAAGGGTTTTCTACTAGTGAGTAGGACCCATCAAACAGCTGCCGAACATCACTCTGCATCATTCAACCATGGAGCAACCACACTGTGAGATGCAGGGAGCTGAGTGCGAGGTGCAAAGTACGTCTGTGATTCTGTGTGAGCTGGTTGGGATGGAGAGAAAGTGATATGGGAGGTTGAACTGACAGCACAAAAAGGTCAGAAAGCCAACCCTCCTTCAGCCATGCTGGGGCAACGAGGATGAGTTTTCAGCTTGAGGATGATCTGGGGAATGATCAGGATCAGAGGAAAAGCGTACAGGAAAACCGACTGCCAGCTGAGATGGAAGGCATCAGTCAGGGAACCTGGACTGAAGCCCTTGAGAGCAAAAGAGATGGCATTCCCTGTTGTCCCTTATAGCGAACAGATTGATCATTGGGATGCACCACGCTGCAAAGATGACTTGCAGAATGCTGGGCTTCAGAGACCATTTGTGGCTCAGTGAAAAATTCCTGCTAGGTGGCCCACGAGATGATTCTGGATCCTGGCAAGTGAATGGCTATTGGAGTGATACTTTAGTCAATGACAGGTTTCAGAGTACCAGCCGTGTTAGTCTGTATCCTCAAAAAGAAAAGGAGTATTGTGGCACCTTAGAGACTAACAAATTTATTTGAGCATAAGCTTTCGTGAGCTACAGCTCACTTCATCGGATGCATTCAGTGGAAAATACTCTCGTCAATGAAGAACTGCCACAACCTGATCGCTTCTTGGCAGAGATCCCTGAGCATGCTCGCCCTTGCCTGTTCACATAATAGATTATGGTGGTATTGTTGGTAAATATGTGAACTACCAACCCCTTGATGTGGTCTATGAAAGTGAAACAGGCATTATAGATGGCTCAAAACTCCAGGACACTGATATACAGTGGAGCTTCCTGCTCTGACCACAGGCCCTGAACTTTCAGTGACCCCATATGTGCTCCTCAACCTATCAGGGAGGCATTGGTGACAAGTCCTGGTTGGTAAGGGCTGGGAAAAGGGAACACCTTGATATACATTGCCCTGAACCAGGCACCACTGCAAGGAGTCCAGGATCAATGGAGGAAGGCAGACCAACTTGTCTAGGGGGTGAAGAGTTGGATAGTGAACAGTCCTGAGCCACATATGAAGAGGGCAGAAGTGTAAACTCGTGAACTGAACCACCTGCATACATGTAGATATGTGGCCTAAGAGCCTCAGGCATATGCAAACTGTTATGGAAGGTTGAGACAAAGACAGCAGACCGAGACAAAGACAGCAAGATGTCTGGAAATGGTCAGCTGGCAGAAACGCTCTCTAACTCGTAGAGTCTATTAGGGCCCCAATGAGCTCCATTTATTGAATGGTACTTTCTGGAATTTAGGATGAGACCCAGATGGTTGAATAAACACAGTGTAATGCATAAACAAGAAAGGACTTCTTCCCTGGGCCTACCCTTGAGTAGCCAGTCGTCCAGATCTGGGAAGACATGGATTCCATTCTTCCTGAGGTACGCAGTCACCATGACCATGCATTTGGTAAAAACCCAGGAGGCACAAGACAGAAGGGAAGGTCTGCCTCCTGAAAATGACAGTCTGCCACAACAAACTGGAGAAATCTTCTGTGGCTGAGGTGAATCACTGCATAGAAGTAAGCGTCCTGAAAGTCCAGAGCAGCACCCCAGTCACCCAGACAACATGAGGAGGTTAGCTGATAGGGTGACCCTATATAACATCATGGATATGATATATTTGTTGATGATGCGGAGGTGGAAAATAGGTCTTATCCTTCTCTTGGATTTGGGAACCAGGAAATACCAGGAATCGAAGCCTGACCCCGGTGTTCTGAAGGTAAAAACAGTCCTGGTTGGTAAGGGCCTGGCAAAGGACACTGCTCCTA